GTGGTGGCATAGAAATATGTTTAATAAATAGAGTCCTACTGGTGATGGAAGGGAGGAAATTGGACTCATTCAAATTGGAAATTGGACTCATTCAAATTGTCTTGCAGGACAATTAATTTACCAAGTGATTACATACACCCTGTGGGACTTTTTTTCCTTTCTTTTCAGTGCCTTTGAGTCAGTTTTTGACTCCTGGCGACTGCCTGGACTAGTCCTTGTAGTTTTCCTGGTCAGATTTCAGAAGTGGTCTGCCACTGCCTGCTTCTTCCTAGGCTGAGAGAGAGTGACTGGCCCCAGGTCATCCAGCTGGCTTCATGCCTAAGGCAGGACTAGAACTCACCATCTCCCAGTTTCTGGCCTGATGCCTTAACAAAACTGGCTCTCTGTGGGACATTACCACTTGATAAATAATAATCCTTGAATTCTTTCTGTCTCTAATGTACACATTTGTATCTACCTTCCTACTATAATTTTGAGTGGAGTAACTATGTTTGTCTATTGTCTTTCAAAGAATAACGGATGGGGTATTTGTGGTTCCCCAGTTTTCTTCTCCATTGACCATATTATTTTGGGCTGTTGGGTGTTTTAGTTTAGGAATATCTGGAGGGGAATTTTCAGAAATGAGTAAAGAAATATTTCAAGCCCCTTCTGCATTCTTAAATACAGGAATTTCACAGAGAGACTCCCACATGGAAACATCAATTTCAGTTCATTCCTAACATCTGGGGCTCCAGACATAATAATGACTCCAAGTACAAGTATTAGTTAACGTAACAGTACTAGAATCTATGTAGGGTTGTCAGACAGTCATTTTGCACAGATTTAAGATTTAACATAGTTATTACTGATTTTATACACACACACACACATATATTGTGTGTATATATATAATTTCCAGGTGTCCTTGTTTTCTTTTCCACACAAATACATGTGTGCACATACATGTGTATATTCATACACCTGTCAGATAACTTTTTGTGTGTCTGATGGAAGTGGATTAAAAACTTTTGCTTTAATAGTTTTAAGGAATCACAAAACATATTGTTTCCCTTAGCTGTACTTCTGTTTATTTATTTGTGGGAGCAAAAGAGAACATCTGTTGACTTTCAAGACAACCTGTAAATATTGGTGCAAACCCATCCAGCACAAAACCCTTTTTTCTTCGCCCTCATTATCACTAGCTCTAATGATTTATCCTTCACTACTGTCTATTTTAATTACCACAATTTATTTACATAATCATCCATCCATTTATCTCACAGCCTAGTGAAAAGGAAGTGATTTAATCCCATCCAATTCACACAGACTAAAAAAAAATGCACGATCACTTACATGTCTCCTCTTCCAACTACGTGGGGAAAACAAAGTAGAAATGCTGTTCCTTAAAAATGGGAAATCCTGGCCCAAAGCATCACTGTTGGTTCCTTCTGCTTAGTGGCACAGCATGCTTGAACAATCTCCACCTAAGTTCTATGACTGCCGCCTATTGAGCAAGGAACAAATTACATAATCAGGACCTGTATCTTCCCATTTTGGGCTGACCAAGTGTCTTTCTTCTCAAGAAAAATTGAACATTATTTTGTTCCTATGTAAATCATGGCACAGAACACCCAACAAGCTCAGTCACTGAAGTCCAGAAAGGCCTCCCTTGCTCCCAGGTGATAAAAATACAATAGTAATAATAAGCATTTATTGCAAGGGTCTACAATTTTTTTCCGAGCATGTTAGGGACTGCATTCCACAAAATAATGGGCAAGACCTGGTCAACAATTGCATTGCATTGCATTACAAGTAAGACAACACACATAGAATATCACAATGAATCTTTTACTGGGGAATGAATGCTTCTCACCTCTAACATCAGACACAGAAATACATCAATATAAGACATTATGCATTATAAAATATAATATTTTACATAATTTATTTCCAGTATTCCAGTGGGTTGGCAAGGATAAAGAGGCAAAGTCAAGCATGACTCCTGGTAACCTCTTTGTTTTTAAATTAACACATGGCTGGGTACTGGAGAGGAAATAAATAGGCTGAGCAGAAGTTTCATTTCGGGCTGATAGAGGAGCCCTCCTATAAAATCCCTTCCTTTGTCCATGAGATGTTCCTAATGTTGAGCTTGTGAAATGTTGGAGAGTAGAGGCATGATTAATAATTGTTTTCTGCATGGGCTACACTGAATCCATAGCAAACCTGTGGATTTTGTATTTCGGACATGTCTAGGACAGCTTTCTACAAGTTAGTGCCCACTAGTAGGACAACAACTGCTGTTTTCGGAAATTCTTGTGTTGCCAGCTAATTCAGAATTTGTAGGACACATACTGAAGCAGAAGGGCATGAAAGGAGATGCCAGGACAGCCATAAACTGAATAATGTTTATTAAAATTGTCCCAATTACTTACAGCTTCAGGGGTCTTTCCCCAACCAGTGGGGACAGTCTGCAACTCAACTCACAAAGGGGTTGCTTTTGTTGGGCAAGTTTTATAGCCTTTCAACCTCCCCCCTCACCTCTCCCCAAAGTTGCTTAGTTTAGGCATCAGTGAGGGAAGGTTACAATCTCATGAGGATTAAGTGTCTAGCAGGCACTGGGCGCCTGCTAAAACAAAAAGGGAAATAATTATCTGATTGGTGTTAGAGCAGAACATTTGTTATCTCACAACTTGCAAGAGTAAATAGGAAGAGTTAGCTTGTCTAAGCAGCCTCTCTTCTGGGTGTTAATTAAAAAATGCAGGTCAATCACAGGACAACTGCTTTCATCCCCAACCTGCACAGCCAGGTATCATTAGAGATTAAATCCAACCTATCTGGAGGGTACCAGATTAGGAAGAGCTGCAATGGAAAATGTTTGTTGGATTGTGGCCATCCTATTGTTGCAACATGATGGCATTCCTTCATGACTAGATGATTTTTGAGCTCAGCCTAACAGTATTTCAGATCCATTTTAGGATACAGCATTAAAGTAACCATCATAGACAAAAAACTCATTATATCAGACACATGTCATATTTTTGTCTCAAGGGCCTTGGAGCTTTACAAAACAGAAAACTAACTAGACTTTCATAAAAAACTGAAATTCTTCAGTAATAAACATACTAATTGGACTCCTGCTACATGCTGAGCCAAGAAATATGGTTTACAAATCATAATAGCTGAATTCCTACAATATGCTAAACAGTATGCAATATTTAGACTCTGGTGCCACACACTGACCACCAGTTGGTAGATAAGAATAGCATGGCAGAATTATTTCCATTGTGTTCAGTTTGGGTAGATGTCTAGCAAAAACTGCAACAATGCAAAAATGATAAAATTGGCATCTTAGTGTCATGATGCAAAGCCCAAGTTCCAAACCTCTTCCATAAATCTATTATACAACTGACATGGAAAGGCTTGAATATGGACTATGATTCTAGAGGAGTCTTACAATTGTTGACTTGTCTTTTTAAAATTGTTACCAGATACAACTTTAGCATGAGTTGGATTTCTGAACTGTACAAATGTACTTTTAGAGTGGGTTGCATTGCACTAAACTATCTTATTTCACCTAACCAAGCTCTGTGATTACGTCTGAACGGTTACATTGATACAACATGCTATGCCAAGACCAAACAAACCACATTATAACAACTTAATCACAACATGTAAAATGTAGCCAATACTTCAGGTTTTACGGGACATTAATTTCTCTAACAGAAACAACTTTGCAGGGGGTCTCAGCCAATGCTTCTGATTCTGTCAATCTTCCCTTGTCCTAATTCATAATCACATACCAATGTAATATTTATTTTTTGAGAATACTGTGTTAGAGAGATTTGTCTAATATGTTGCTTAGTACTTCAAGAACTTGGAAAAATATATACATTTTTTTAAATGGCAGTATTGATTTTCCTTTTTCTAGACATAAATTGAGGTGGAATGGGATAGTTAGACAAAAGAGGTCAACGAGAAACCACTTCTGTATTATTGCTAATAAAACATGAAGTATGTATCCATGTAGGAACTGAGCTCAATTTCAGGGAGCCTTTTAAAAAATTACAATTACTGAAATTAAAACTGTTTGTTCCTGGATGACATTCAGAGGTCAAGTATCGGTTTTGGACTGCACAATCTTGGCCAAACTCCACTGAACTTCATGGAATTTCCACTGAGAACCATACTTAAAAAAACAACAACAGCAACACTAAGTATATGTAGGATTGCGACCTTCTGCTGGACAAATTCCAGTGAGATATCTGCCTTGGTTGTAAGTAATAGTCCTCTTGTGGTGGCCTAAATTTTCTTAGACTGAGTTCATCTCCTGAGATGGGCTTATCTGTGGTCTTGAGCAATGGTTCCTTCAGCCCAATTTTCTGAGTTCTTGGAGCACATGGAACCCTAAACAATCAGGGGCAGCTGGCTTCTGTCAGGAAACCACGAGGCTAAAACATGGTTAACTTGTTCAGTGTGTTATGTGAAAAAAAACAACCACCTCAGCATTGTTGTGGAATCTGGACTAGGCAGCTTGTATTTTATTATACTGTATCCTTAAATGACCTGTTTCCATCAAACTTCACCCCCACCCCCAGTTTTCATCCTGTCGCTTCTAGGAGGGTGGATAAGCTGTTCATAAATTAACCTGATATGCATTCAATTTTTAAAACGAAAACCCACCGCAAAGCTCAAGATTTCTACGTTTTCCAGACCAGGGTTCCTCAACCTTGGCCACTTTAAGACGGGTGGATTTCAACTCGCAGAATCCCCCAGCCAGCCTATAAACCCTCTTAGAAGGCTGGGGAATTCTGGAAGTTGAAGCCCACCGGTCTTAAAGTGGCCAAGGTTGAGGAATCCTGGTCTAGACAACTCCCAATTTTCAGTCGCGGTAGCAATAACGACGAAGCCACTTTATTGCACCTTGAAGAACGTGCTGCCGCCGATACAGACGCTCTGCGGGGTTATTCGCAGCCTGTCTCTTTAAGAGGCGGAGTCTTCGCCCGGCGCTGGTTTTCCGGAAGCCTTCGGAATTGGAACGTTAGAGCCCGTTTTAGTTCCAGCCGCTCTCCCGCCGGATTCGATGGAGCGCCCGCTCCGTTGAAGTTTGCCGGGCTTCTACGGGAGGTGTCCCCAGTCCATCCGTGGCGGTTCGCGGGAGCAATTATTGGTGATTGCTTCTATTTTAATTATCTTGGGGTGATGGGCGGCCATGTAAATTGAATAAATAAATAAATAAGAAAAATTCGCCGGGCCAATGAACTCGTTTTGGGTTTTTTTTTTCGGAAGAAGCCAGGGATGAAAACAATCTCGTTTTGCAAATTGAAACGGGAAGGAAAAAACAATCAGAAAAAAGCCCAGGTGAGCAGCCGGAGGCACCCGAGTTCATGTTAGGTGCGGCTGGCTAGGACTTCCGCTGCGTGCCCTGCGATCTCCAATTTTGCTGCCTTGCTCTGCTTGCGGGATGTAAGGATGGAGGAGAATCGAGGGCTGACGCCCCTTGCAGCAAACGCCGTGGCTTCTCCTGTGGGAATGCCGATTCTGGTCCTCCCGTGTTAGACGACCTGCCTGTTGGAAAGCTGAGCGTTTCCACCTTTAAGTTCTCGGATGGTTTCCTCAAGTCCACCAGATGAATCCGTTTTCTTTCACAGATCCTTAATATCTCCATTTCAAGAAGGATGAGTATTTGCTGTTATTGGTCTGCCCGGAACGTCTTTCTTGGTGTCAGAATCCTCACTCTGAAGAAATCTCTGTGTTTTGTAAGGAAATGGAGGAAGGAACCTGTGACACGATTCACCTGTGTTGATGTTCAAAATTGGTTGGGATGCCAAACAGTGGCAAAGATCCTCTTTGTGTGCTGCGGGATTGAAGGATTGTCTCGCGAGATAAAGTGTGAAGGTGTAGCTAGTAAAGTTGCCAAGACAAACATTGGAAGCCTTCTTAGTCAAGCAAGGCTTTCTTCAGTGGCTTTCCTTCGGCATTTTGGATTTGCCTTCTCTGTAATTATCCGAGGTTTCATCTTGTTGTTGAAGTTTGGCCCTGTGATCTGCTTTTATCCTTTTACCTATTTTTCTCCGGGCTTTGCCACACTCTGGCTCCATGTTCTTCTTAAGATTACAGAGTCCTCTGGTCCCACATTCATCAAACTGGGGCAGTGGGCAAGCACAAGGCGCGGCCTCTTTTCAGAAGAGTTTTGTGTCAAGTTCTCCAAGCTTCACATCAAAGCGATTCCTCACCCATGGGATTACACCAAATGCTCTTTAGAGAAAGCATTTGGGGAAGGCTGGGAGAAAATATTCATGTTTGAAAGCAGAGAACCTATTGGATCTGGTTGTGTGGCCCAAGTATACAAAGCTTATGTAGACAGCTCCACTTTCACAGAGCCAGTGCTGAGTGAACTCTCAAAGACTTCTGTGTTGGATTCTGCTTTGGAGGCCTGGCAGATCTCAGGTCTTAAAGGACTTTTCAGATGGTTCTGGTGGAGGAAGCAAAAAAACATTTTGGAAGGTGACCATCGACTGCTTCACAAAGATGGTTTCTATGAAAGTGTTGTACAGAATTCCACCTCTGGATGTTTAAGTACACCCTTATCTTCCAAGGGGAACCATTATTTCCCAGTAGCCATTAAGGTAATGTCATGGCTGCAAAACTGTTCATTCTCACTTAGGAGTTAGTGATTGATAGCAGAGTGTCATACTCGTGAAGAATACTGGCAAAAATTAGACTTCTGTTTTAGATTCTGCTTTGGAAGGAGAGGCAGAAATATACTAAGCACTGATACAGTTGGAGTTCTTGAGTGCATTTAGATAAATACAACACAGAATGTGTATGTAACAAAATAGGTAGATGAATTCAGTTAAGAGGGCTTTAAGAGGATTTCTCTAATTTTTTCCCAAAATGCAGCAAGTTGTAGTAACTAATTTATGTTGTCTGAACTTGAAAAAGCTAAACAGGGTCAGACCTGGTTAGTATTTGAATGGGGGAGGGGGGCTATCAGGTAATCCCAGAACTAGGCTGGATTGGGAAGTCTCCAAAAATGGCAATTGGCAAAGAATTTTTGTTGCCGAGAAAACTATATGGATGTGTTCATGTAGTCACCAGGTATCACTCAAAGGATTTTTTAAAATTTTTGAATTGTCCTACTACTCTTATTTAAAATAAGTTATAAATATTTAAAGCAAACATTAACATGCAATAAAATCCAACATGGAGTGTAGGCAGAACTATGTTCTATTGAATTCAGTTTATAAGCTCGAATCAGTTGGTGTAACAGGAATATACCCTTAGTTTTATTAAGCCAGAATAATGGGAATTCAATTAAATATGCATATGAGTAAAAAGACAGGATTGCTAAGGAACAAAAGGTATTCTTTTTGTTTTTAGACAGTTGTAGCAGGAAATACATTTGCAATTGTACAGATGGGCAGTTCTTTGATCAGAAGCTTTTTTGCCCACTTTGAATCCAAATTCTGCACACTGTGGGTTCCTCTGGTATGTTTCAGCATTTTCTCCAACCTTGATCCCTCCAGCAAGATCTTTTTCACTGTTTTCTGAATGCCTAGCCAGCAAGGCAACTTTTTATTTGTACAGGATGTTTATTCTGAATTTTTGGCTAGCATTGGTAGTAGTGTTGTTTTTAAATAAGATGTTCTTCATATCTCCCCAGTTTTAGCCCATTTTTAAATTATGAATCTATTTCAGAAGCCCAGAGCATAATAAAGAGTAGAATTCATAAGGACATTTTCCAGAATGAACAAAACAAAGTTTCTGAAACCACTACAACTGTATTCCCATACAATCAATCAATAAAATAAAATCTGGAAGTATGAACTGTATCATCACAATACCTGAACTGTTGACAGAGAGTGGGTGTTTGTCCATAATAGATTGTTTGCCCTCTTATGTCTTGCTCAGGTGCTGCATCCTGGATTAGTTCAGCAGGTCCAGATGGATTTATTCCTCATGAAAATTGGCAGCCGATTTATTGAGCTTTTCCCTGGGATCAGGTGGCTCAGTTTGACTGAAACTGTGGAGGAGTTTGAGAAGCTCATGATTCAGCAGGTGGAAACAGTTTGCCTTGAACTGTGGTTTATAGATTTTTTGTTTCTCTGCACTGATTTCTCTTACTCTAAGTGAAGAATTAGTTATGCTTCAGAACCTTCAGTTTGTGGAACTTCATTTCACATTACTGAAGCTCTGACAGATAGGATTAATATTTGTAAACGATAAGGGCATATAATAATTTGTAGAAGAATTTCATGTTTGGTATTCCAGCCTCTGTGCTCCATCTACCTTAATATTGGTTTTCTGTATCCTCCCCATCAGACAGTATCTTATATCAACATTTTGGCTATTCTCTCCATCCCTATTTATTGGAATTTTTATTAGTAAATAAGTAAATACAAATCTGGCCTCCTGTAAACCTTCAGATTCCCCCAAGCTGATTTTATTACTGAATATTTTATTTCATGTAACTATTGGGTTTTAAACTATCCATGTGCTTAGTTGTATTTAAAAACTTATTTCTTAAGATTTCAGTAGGAAAATATGACCAAATATTGGTTTTTGTGGGACCAAGCCCAACCATAAATATCTCTAGAAAGGGGAAGGGAAACGAGTGCCAAAACATTTTGCAGCATTCCACACTTGTACCCTGATGTCACACAAGGCCGATTTTTTGTCATGACATCATGAAGTGTATTGAGTCATTTTGGTGCTGTTGTGAATAGGAACAGAAGCCTATGAGCCCAACTAACGTATTCTAGGTGTAACCTTTTATCGATGCATTCTGTTTGGAAATCTGTAAGATAATTCAACATTATCATTCACGTTAATGCCAGTGGTAGGACAAGAGAGTACTTGTTCATAAGGTTGTTCTATTTATTTATTTTGTTATTTTATTAAGTATGAAACCCAACAATGTTCTGAAGAAGGTTAGGCTAATAGGTAGACACTGGTCCACAGCTCCAGATTAGTTTCATGGCTAAATGGGGATTTGAATATGGACCTGCCTGCTGCCAGTCTAACACTAATCACTAGACCTTTTGGTTTCCTGATTTGGCACTCAGTTTGCTTTCTTGGTTGGATTTCCTCATCCATGATTATTCCTGATCCTTTCATTGATATTAGTTTAGGTTTAATAAACAGTGGCTTTGCCCCAGAGGGAAGAAATGAAACACATTCTCAGTGGAATGACAAAGATAGTGTGGAAGTATTTTTTTCTTACTATTGATTCCTGTTGGTTATCTTAATGTACCAAGGATGTGTGATCCTTGTGGTGTGTATCCTTCTTTCTTTACTCCTTTTAGATTGACTTGCACTATGAAGCAAGAAACCTAGAACACTTCCATCTGAATTTCCAGGATATAGATTACGTGAGGTTTCCCCTTCCGCTTCACCCATTTGTGACAGAAAATATCCTAGTGGAAACTTTTGAGGTAAGAATACTGATTAGATAAAGCAGGGGTAGGCCTCTACCCAGCCTAACCGATAGTGAGAGATGCTGGGAGATGTGGTTCAGCAACATCTGGAATTTCACAAGTTGTCCACTGAGAGAGATTTGGGTGGCCAACTTTTCCTTCTCTATTTGGCAGCTAACAAAAACACCTCTTGCTGACTTTATGAATACTCAGAAACTCTTAATCTTAATAAATGGGTTAGGAAAGCTTACCACTGTATTGGTGTCAGTGGATTCCCTGCCCCCCCCCCGCCAAATTTTGTTACCTGCCTGAGGTGGTGAAGTTTGGCAGGACTGCAAAAAGTTGAGAAAAAGTTTAAAACTTCCTTCCATTTGTGATACCATTGTGTTCTTTGTCTCTTTTTCCTGGGTGGCTAAAACTTGAAAAATACAAGAATGCTGATTAAATGCTTTCACTAATTCTGTGTTCAACTTTGTTTGGTGGAGGGTCCCTCTAAGGTGGGAACTGTATTCAAAAAAAAAAAAAAGCAGAGCCAGAACAACAATGACAACAAAATGATAAAACCAGGACAGAAAAAGACATACAGTGGGGCAAAAAAGTATTTAGTCAGCCACCAATTGTGCAAGTTCTCCCTTGTGCAAGTTCTCCCTTGTGCAAGTTCTCCCTTGTGCAAGTTCTCCCTTGTGCAAGTTCTCCCTTGTGCAAGTTCTCCCTTGTGCAAGTTCTCCCTTGTGCAAGTTCTCCCTTGTGCAAGTTCTCCCTTGTGCAAGTTCTCCCTTGTGCAAGTTCTCCCTTGTGCAAGTTCTCCCTTGTGCAAGTTCTCCCTTGTGCAAGTTCTCCCTTGTGCAAGTTCTCCCTTGTGCAAGTTCTCCCTTGTGCAAGTTCTCCCTTGTGCAAGTTCTCCCTTGTGCAAGTTCTCCCTTGTGCAAGTTCTCCCTTGTGCAAGTTCTCCCCGTTTTGGTCTAAACTCAACTCGTCGTGTTTGGAGGAGAGAGAATGCTGAGTTGCATCCAAAGAACACCGTACCTACTGTGAAGCATGGGGGTGCTCTCATAGTTGAGGTATACCTATGATGAAAATTACAGGCCTCTCTCATTTTTTTAAGTGGGAGAACTTGCACAATTGGTGGCTGACTAAATACTTTTTTGCCCCACTGTAATTAAAATTAAGTTTGATTAAATATGAATGTTATCTTCCATTATTTAATACTTTTTTCTCTTCTGTCACTTTACTGATTGCAATTCAGTGGCAGCCTTTTCAAGGGTGACATAGGTTGTACCTAAGCTTTTGAAGGAGGCAAGGTATCCTTGGCCTCAAAGGGTACACCCGTGGCTTACATAGGTTTTTCATCATGTGTAATTTGAGATTTGCGGGTTGGCTGTCTGTTACCCAGGATGAAATAAATAATGGTTTAGCCTCCTGAAAGAGGATCACAAGATTAGGGGTGCATGAAAGGAAAGGCACTTCTGCAGAAGCATATCTATAGGCAACTGCTCTCATTAAAGGTGCTTAAGCTTCTGAAGGCTACAAAACCGCAGTGATGTTTCTACACTGAACATCAGTGCCATTATGACTGCATATGTCCAACCTCAAGAGGCAGCATCTTTGCAGTCCTGACAATTCATGGCTTACATTGTCATGGAGAAGCCTGGTCATAGCCTGCAGCCCATACTAGATAATGTCCATCCTAGATGAGTGGATTATAACTCATATCATACAACATATCATTGAAAAATTTGTCAGCAAGCATGCATTACTTTTCCTGACTTTCCTGGTCTTTGTTTAAGGAGAGCAAACCCATATCCCAGTATCTGCACACAGAAACCACAATGGAACTACGGCAAAAAATAGCCAAGAAGGTCATGGATATGCTGCTAAAGATGGTAAGGGGACCTTGCTAAGTTGAGCTTGGCTAGTTTCTCCAATTTAGCTTATATTGTAATAAACTCATGAGAGTATTTTTTTAACCAAGTAATCCCGATGGTGCAATCTGAATAGAGTATATTGGATAATGAATTCTGCTCTTAAAATTGCTGGCAAGTGAAGATCAGGCATGCTGTATCTTGTCTGGGAGCAGGACTGTTCTGTACCAGACAAAGCAATAAGATTATAAGTTCCCTCTTTGGGGAGGAAAACAGTAAGCATGGAAGAGCCACTCTTAAGGAAACAGCCCAGTGACAACAGAACATGCTGCAGACCTGAGTGGGGACAGAAAGTCAAGGGGAAGGGAATAAAACAGGGTCTGGAATCCAAAATGGCAATAGACATTTTTGTGGGTCCCATTTGGTTGCTCTGCTACTACTGCTCAAGTCAGTGTATTCTTGCTTATGTAGCTAAAACAAGCTACACCCACAAGAGAGATAGAAGTCAGAGACCTGGGTGAAACCCTGACATTTGCATAAGTACATAAGGTATTTAGCAAAAATCCTTAAGGGGGAGCTCTCCAGATCAACCCCCCAAAACAGCACTCAGTGGCAATGGAGGCTGGTTGCCCACAGGGAAAATGTGTATGAGAGGTGGAATGGAATGAGGTATGGAAGAAGATGTGGGTGTCTTTGGAACAATGAACAAGAGCACTCTACTGCAGCATCTGGTGGCAGGTCCAATTAGTCCAGTTTAATGTATTTCCCTGAGTAGTATTAGCTTTAGATGTTTCCCAACCTCAATGCCCAGCATTTTTTTTTTATCTCAGTCTTCACTTTTTGAGTTTAGAGCTTGAACCTTTTTTGTTGAAAACAGTGGTCCTAGTGCTAGGTAATGACCTCTTAATGTGAATTATTTGCCATGAGAAGGTTGACTTTTTTTTTTAACAAGCTGTGTTTTTCAATCCTTCAGGTGTTTGTTGATAACTTTGTCCATGCTGATCTGCATCCTGGGAATATCCTGGTCCAGGGAGCAGAACACTTTGGTGATCATTCTAAAGATGGGGCAGTCATAGTGGATCTGCTGGACACATTAATTTTAGAATTACAACCCTCTCACTCACCACTCCAACTGGTGCTTCTGGATGCAGGGATTGTAGCTGAGTTGCAGGATGCAGATCTTGAGAAGTTCCGGGCAGTGTTCACTGCCGTTGTATTAGGGCAGGTGAGTCCTGATTTTAAACTGGGACTTGCACAGTTTCAAAAGTTCAGGAGAAAACTACTGAACTATCAGAGTACTATCTACTCTTTCTTTAAAAATACAGCATGCTTTTCATGATTCACGTCTCTACCCTTTTACCTCGTAAAACATCTATTAGTTTGAGTTAGAGATATGGTTCACACGTAGTGAGCCACAGGTTTTTGACTAAGCTATACTTTGCAGGGTTTGGACATGATGAATCCTGAATCCTGAATTCCAGAATTATTGATTGGGTTTCCACAGCATACTAATGAAAATCAAGCAAATAAATGCATATTATAGTTTACTAAAAGGGAGGACCAAAAAGTATCTGCATGAGCATTAATTATGGTTAAACTAACCAGAATTCCTTTAACTAGAGTTAGAAATCAGGAATTTTGAAACAAGATTTACTTAATTGTTAAAAATTCAGGAATAGCTTTGTTTGCACCAAAACTTTTAAGGGTCTACTTGGTCCATTATATCCTTTGATCTTGACTCTGTTGGAATATGGACTTCATAAAGACAAATATTAGAAAAGGACAGGGGAGGGGGAGAAATTCCTTGAAAGTGGAGAGTCTGGAAGTTTTCTTGAATCTGCTCCATCAAATCTGATTTATTCCACAGGGAGAGAAAGTGGCTGAATTGATTCTTTATCACTCCAGAGCTAACCAGTGCAAGGATGTGGAGAGATTCAAGGCTGACATGGCAGAGCTGGTGACAAGGGCCAGAAGCAATACTGTTGCACTGGGGAAGGTCAGCTGTCTAATTTCAGTGTGGTCTTTTGTTGAGTGCATCTCTGAGCACAGCACATGGTACAGGATATACAATCTATTACATTCCCTCAAATGCCAAATCCATTGTAAGAAATCATCTCAAGATATGCCAAATGTAAATATATTCGAGTGCAGTTAATTAAAACAAAGAAACAAGCTAGATATTAAAATTAATAGGGCTGTCACCCAGTGAAAGTCCCTAGTGTCTGGGGAGAAGAACTGGGAACAGAGGAAGTTGCTTATTCAAGAGATGCAACTATCATAAAAGTTTATCGTACCATTTTATTTAAACTATTTCTAAGCTGCTTTTAAAAGTCCTCAGAGGCAATTTACTGGTATGAAGATACACACAAAAACATAACAGCAGTGCATAGAGTTACCTTTGAGTAGAAAGGTGGCCATAAAAATGTGTTTAATAAAGTAATAAATAACAGTAAACCACTGATAAAGCCAAGATGCTTCCATTGAGTAAAATTTAAAATCAGACATAATTATAGTTAACAAATGAGTACAGAAGAAAACCCATTTGGAGGAAGGCTTGAGATCTCAGTGACAGAGACCTGGTTAGAAGATCCTAGGTTTAATCCAAAGTGTTTCTAAATGAAACTGGGAAAGTATTGAAACCTCCAAGAGTCATTGCCAGTCAATGTCAGTAATGCAGGACTACATGGCATATGATCTGAAAGAGTACACTGCAGCCTTCTATAATCTTCTGAGTCAGGGATACAAAAATGTAGGCCATGGGCTGTCTCCACAGAGCTTCAGAGTCAAACAATTGGCCATTCTTTTTTGCATTTGGGCAGGGGGATTTAAGAGGCAAACTATACTTAGCTCTCCTCCCCCAACCCTCTCAGATCAGGCCAAGTTTGAGTCCTGGTCTGGTTAGCTATTTGTGTTCAGCCTTAGAATGGTGCAGAAAGCCTTCTTTGGTCCTTCAGCTAACAGAAATTACACACCCTTGTTCTAAATACACTTCAGTAATGTTGAAAATCTGGTTTCCAGGCCTTGATATGATTCTTATCTATCTTTGAATGGGTAATTGCTCGTTATCGTATTCTGATTAATTGAATGGTATTTTTAATCCTTTCTATTCCAGCTCCAAGTTGCAACCTTATTGTCCAGTGTTTTCAAGTTACTTATGACACATCAGGTGAGATCTTTTATGCGTAAGAACTTTTTCACAGTGGCATAAAGCCATGTAACAAGCAGGATGTGTATGTCATATGTAAAGGACTGGATATTCTGTATTTCTGGATGCTGTAATCTAACATCTGAAGGTACCAGAAAACCTTGGCTATTGAAAATAGTCAACAGTTGCAATGCCATAAAGGCATCCAACACTATCTGAGGTGTAATTAGGCAGTATCCACATGGTTCTGAGCCTCACGAATTAGAAACATATTTTAAATAAAAGTGGAGATTCTCATGAAGTTGTATTTAATACTCAATGTGTTATATACATTTTTCACAGTTGAGGACTACTGGAGGCACTTGTATTTGGGCTACATTATGTGATACAAAAATTAAATGCATTCTGTTTTATGAACTTTGAAAATTACATTCAAAGAAACTAAACCTTATAGGAAGGTTGGAAACAATGGGTTTCTTGATGTATGCTTCTTAAATGATGATGTTTCATCACTTTGTTCTCTTGTTAGTTTTCTGTAAATGGTTTGTCTTGTTTCAGAATCATTTTCTGCACTATTAGATACTGCTTCATCTTCATAGCATTGTTGCCTACTCTTGCCCATGATACTTGCACTTGACAGTTTTCTGTCCTTTAGTGGCTTCTTCATAACAGTGAAGAAAGAGGACTAGCAGATCAATTCTCTTTCCATCAAGGAGGATCATTGAGAAGCCAGGATTAAGAAAATGCATGGGCACGGTATACATGTAAAACTGCCCCAGTTTCTTCCTGTTCATATGTTGTGCTTTCGAAGTTATGTTTGCTGCTTATCTTTTTTGTACTTTTAATCCTATGTTAGCCACCCAGAGTCACAATGTGCAAGCTGGGCAACCATATAAATCGCATAAATTAATAATAGATTCACTTCAGAGCAGGAAGTCTTCCATGTGGCACCTCATTCATTCTGGTTACAGCAAAAACCTAGAGGTGCTTGTCTTTTTCATTTCTTTACAACTTCCCTCTTCTCTCTTTCTGTCATTGAATCAGGGGAAAACTGCTTCTCATTTTAATTTAGAATAAAAAAGCAGGCATCATATATCTCTGAAAGTGCCAAAATTGCTTGAAATGAAACATTTCTGACTGAAAACCTGTAGACTAGTTGAAAAACAGAAGTCCATCTCTGTCTCCCTCATCCGTGTTGCAAAATCTCCACTACAGCGTGTGGCTCTGCAAACATGATCGTTGCAACTGCTTTCAGTTTCTATCAAACAACATTGCAGATACTCCTTATCTGAAAATATTTAAAGGATCATCGAGAAGCCAGGGTTAAGAAAATGCATGTGCTTAAAGAGCTATAGTTTATTGTATTTGTTCAGACTCTTACTGTAAACATTTTTTGAAAAAAGCAGTGTGAAAATATGAATATAATTTTTATATCAAATAGTTGCATTTTGTTTTCAGAACACAAATTTGCTTCTACCTGTTTGTTGTCTTTGTGCTTCTAGGTAAAGCTGGAAAGCAACTTTGCTTGTGTGGTCTTTGCCATTATGGTTTTGGAAGGTCTTGGTCGCTCCCTAGACCCTGAACTGGATCTCCTGAAGGCAGCTAAACCTCTTCTGATCAACCCTCCAAATTCATAAGAACCCTCCCCTTAGTAAAAAGCTGCTTTCAGTGTTTACATCTAAAGACTGAGGACCTGTTCAGATACTAAAAGCTTTGCCCTTTGGATTTGGAAAGTAAGGTCCGATCCTTTAAGGAGTACTCATCTGCTGCAGTTCAAAGGAACAGGACCATCTTGGTCATCTATACAGGGATTTGATTCAGGTTGCTGATGCATCTCTAGATGCATTCTAGTCCTACAAAAAGATGACTTATTCTCTCTCCTGGAACACACACACACGTACATACAGTTTTCTTAGAATGCTGACTAGTCTGGAAAGCATTAGGGTTTTATCATGGTTAAAATGATTGTTGCAATTTCAGGTGAATTAGTACGCAGTCACTTATGTCCCAAAATATTAGCCAAGTTTGTTTTTACTAATAGACATATTTTTAGAAGGACACACTTCTAACTCTACCTACTGATGTTGGGAAAGTTGGATGAATTAATGAAAGTCTTAGGCAAGAAATGGCTTTTCAATCTACTTCTCTACTGGTTTCGTGTAAATGAGAGAAAGAAACAGACTTTCTAAAGTGTTCCTTTTGGATTCAAAATGGATATCCCACCTTTCTACCCAAACATGGATTTCAGGTGGACAATACAAATCTAAAAATGTGCACCTGTGAAAATATGATGAATACAGTAAACTGCAATGCAAAGAGTTACAACACAGATACACAACCTGTAGGCCCTAGAACAGGGATTCCTAACTTTTTGCCTTCACACCTCCCTTTAGTGTAATCTTAACATACCCACCTCCCCTAAAAATCCAAACACCAAAATGAATAATGAAAACAATGCAATGAAACTTTGGGAAAGGTGGATTTATTGTAACAATGCACAACTAAAAGATTCTTCATGTCTCCCATGGACTCTGAGGTACACCTCGCAGTTCGGGAAACCTTGCCCTAGAACCTTTTGAAAGTTGCCTCCAAATTGTAATGTTTAATATATTGAAAGGAGAAATTTATAAAACATCAGGGGAGTAATCGTATTAGCAGTATTTAAGTAACCTGAATTTTGGCTTTCAGGAAACTACTCAAAGGCCCAAAGTACACACTGATAAATGCAAACTAATATTACCCATAGGAGAGACAATCAACAATCAGAACTGCAGAGTTTCACCTAATTACTAGGAAACCCCTCAATGCTGGCTGGGGAATTCTGGGAGTTGAAGTCCACACATCTTAAAGTTGTTGAGGTTGAGAAACACTTGTCTAAAGAATTAGGGGGTAAGGCTATGTCTTTTTGCCCTCAGCCAATCCTATTTGCGTATAATTCTGTGTGTTTAGTGACCCAGTTCACAAGTATAGCATGCTCTCCACTGACAGATGGTTCATTGTGGCGGGGTAGATTTGACTTTTAGCCTACAAAACAGAGAAGCTGATGAACACCATTAGAGTCTGTAACGATGAAGACAATTCCAATTCAGAAGGCAACGTAAAGCCTTGTTGCCAATAACAGCCTGACCAACCCCCAAAATGCAGGGGTGTTAGACTAATGTCTTGGCTGGTGATGAAATTGGTCCTTAAGGCACTTCTAATCCCAAACCATTAGGAACTTCGTAGGTTAAAATCAAGCATCCAGCCTGGCATACACTGCTAATTTTATTACATTTTAAGATTGTCCTTCCCTTTTATCTGCTGCTTAGGCTGAGAGGGAGAAACAGGCTTAAAGCTGCTTAAGGCACTTAGTGGTTGAAGGTGAATATAATTTTTAATCACCTGGTGTTATTTCAGCCAAGTCATTTTAAAATATTTTGATGATTAAAAGGATAAACTGAAGGGGAGAAAGAACTTTAGTGTGAGACTGGAAAAGGAAATACATTATAAAAAATTCTACCTGCACATGCTCATATGATCATTCTTCCCAAAGAATTTTAAAAATGAGAGAACGGCTAAACTGTCTTGACAGCAAATTCTGATCTAGTCAAATAAATCTGAAGGGGTTTCTTTTTAAAAATGGGATACATTTGTGGACATGACCAAATTTCAAGAAGTTTGGTTCAATCCCACTTCTTAACTTTAATATGTATTTCAAAGGTGCTTCAGGTAGTGTTGGAAAGACCAAAAGGCTTTTCAATTTCTCAAGAAATAAGCTGAAGCACTCTGAAAATCAACAAAACTGGTTTGAACCTAGGATAAATCAGAAGATGAAAATGGGGATTGCAAGCAATGATCATTTGCTACACCACCTCCAGTTCTCAAGCACGTAGCTTCAGACTCAGAAGAACCATTTCACAGTCCTGAACTGCACACTGTATTGTCTGTGAACATTATTAATACCTCGGTTGCAAAAATTGGTTTGTTCTATGGTAGCATAGAAGCACGGAGCAGCAAGAGGTCCTGTTCTCTGAGATACTGTAGGAGTCCTTTCTGCGTCTGCCTCTCCTTTTCTATATGCTGTAAAATCTGCTCCCTCTTTCGGGACAAATGGCATTTGGCAGCCTCCTTCTCCTTATTTTCTGTGTCCTGTTCTTTCAGGGCAATTTCAGCATTCTTTTGCATGGCTTCTTTTCTATTCCTGAGAAGTGCCTACGGAAAAGAACATAAAATTACTTGATGATCCTGCATACTTACAGCTCTTCTACCATACCTTCTTTTAAAAAATATTTTACTGCATCAGACTAGTTAACAAAATAGGATAGTGTTACAATGTACTGAAAGAAAAAAAAATAAAATAAGGCATGGAAATTTAACTCATGAACAAGACAACTTGCTCCAAATTGGCCAGGCTGCTTCAAACTCCTAACTAATTCAACTGCTGCTAGAACATACAGATTAACACTTTTCAGTAATAAGGTGTGCATTGGAGTACTAATCAAGCATGATCCTCTTTACTGTGCTGCCATCTGCCAAGGCACATTTGTTCTTCCAATGTTATACAATAATTACTTTGACCATTTCTGGTGTACCAAGAATTTACCGTTCTTGATCATTCAGTGGGTTCCAAATACTGGATATGTAGCTAAACTGAACTTAAGCATCTTTAAAGAGCAATAATGTATCTAAAAATATCATGTCAACAATCCTCTGGATTTACTACAATGATGTTCTTTAATTGCAGAGCCAATTTATATATATATTTATATATAAAATTGTTTAGTCTGGACAGATCTTATATTTTGGAAAGGTTAAAGAAAAGCTTCAAAGCAAAGTTTAGGAGATGTTGAGGTTTTACATAGGCTGAACAAGGTGGCCTATGAGATGTTTAAAATTGTTTTAATGTTTAACTGTTTAAAATTCCACAATAATCTGCCGCTAACAGTGAAAATCACAGGGGAGAGAATACTGTTTGTTTTACATTCTTTGTTCAGATTGAAAGTAAACAGGGCCCAGGTTTACCTACCATGCTAAACCAGTGTTTCTCACATGTTTCTGCAATTATGGACTATGAAATAATAGTTCCATAAACGCGTGGATTACCCAATTAAACAAATACCTGCTCTCTACATTTTTGTTTTAATGGCCTCACATTTTTCAGCAAATAAACTGCTTTTACCTACATTTTGCATGCGTTCATATCCCCTCCCTTTTAATGCGACTTTTACCCAAATTTTGATTCAAACAATTTAATCAAAAATTAAGTATTTATCACCTGAATATTTGAATACAGGGGAGGCTGTGGAGGATGTTTCTACAATGCTTAGCAAGATACACAAATACTTTCTGTCTCATCCAGCCAGGGAAGGTCTGCCAATGTTGAAGTGAACTCTACTTTCAAGATGGGTCTTTTAAGATGAATGGGTTTGCATGGCCCAGACTAGCACATTACTGCTACCAGCGACTAACTGCTTACATGAATAGTTGGATTAATGCCATCATACTGCATTTTATCAAATGCATACTGAATTTTATCAAGCTCATATGTGCATACATTCTTCGCGCAGCTCACAGAATTCAACTTTTCTAGGTGCACATAGCTTGCATAGTGAGGTACTATACAACTTTGGCATGTTTCACAGAGATCTGTTTTCCAAATCCCAGCTTCTGTCAGTATCAATTTTGTTTGATCAAAAAGCTACAACAGCCCCAAAATGCAACTCAACTTGAATAAAATTCAATATGATGATATTGATCCAACTGTGGTTGCAGGCAGTTAATAACTTTTCTAGGTGGGATCTCTCTCATTCTCTCTGTATATATATGTATATGTGTGTGTGTGTGTGTGTGTGTGTATACACAGACACACGCACACACAATTTGCTTAGTTCTCAATAATTAACCCTTGTCATAGAACTCAACATTTCTAAGCACAGAGTTCTGAGCAGAATTCCTGATTAGAAATGAAGAAAGCTGCTTGCTGCTTTAAATATTCACGATATTTCTTTCCTACAATTCAGCTGCATCCCACTTTCCACTTCTGCACCCTCAAATGCACTCAGAATGAATCTGATCTTCCATAGGTTTATATCACAAAATTTATCCAAGGAGAGAGTTAAATTTTCTTTGGCGGAGGACTCTTCCTGGTGATGCCTGATCTCCCCTAATCTGTTCTTTCCCCCATAAGAAGAACATTTTCAGAAATTTGGAAAAGGAGAAAAGTAAAACAGACTTGTGTTCTCCCCAGTCTCTTTTTCTCCTGGCCATCAAGCCTTTGATTATGTTCTGCCAGCTGCTTCTCCCTCTGCTTGTGCTGTGCCTTTAAGAACTCCCTCCTTTGGTTCTCTTTCTTTTCTTCTTCTTCCCGCAAATGGGACTCCTGCCTTCTCCTCTCTGCTCTTGCTTCTCGGAGCTGTTCCAGATGCTGCTCAGCTCTGTCACTCTGCTCCTGCTGCCTTTGTGAACGTTGTGAGGTTCGCTGGAGGGATCTCTGCCTGTTTAAGAAATGAGCTCAGCTTTTCAGTGTTTCTCAAACCTTGGCCCCCCCCACTTAGGGCTAAGCTGCATCACACTCCCCTCCCCCCCCCCACCCACCACCCCCGG